GGGGAGGGGCATGGTGCCAGGGCCCGCGCCGATCGGCAAAACAAACAAACGATCACCACCTGGGGGGGTTCTTCGGGCCCAGGGGCCGTCAGAACAAGCAAGACGAGGCGGCAAGCCTGGCGGGGGGCCAGGTACAGGGGCCGAGGTCGGCTGACTTTCTCGTCGAGGACCAGGGGGGGTGCATGGGGTAGGAGGTGGAGTAGAGTTAGGTCGGGCATGTCCTCCTACAGTGGGATTTTGGACAGAGAATTCAGAATATTCAAAAATTGGAAAAGGTCAAAAATAGTCGAAACATGGTCCCCATATTATTTTCTTACTATCTTGAAATCTTCCCTCTGTAGAGGGACACGCCCGACTTAAGTGTAGGAGGAGTAGAGGGGATAATGCTGTATTCGTGTGCCTGACCAGGGGTGGAGCCGCGACAGCCAATCCAGTCGCCCCAAAGGGGGGGGAATAGCTCGATAATCCTGGAGGCGACGACAACGACGACGTCGACGCCGACGATGGCAGCGGCAACCACGACGGTGGCGGCAACGGCGACAGCCACAGCGACAACGTCATCCACGGCGACGTGAGGCCCTGGCTGTGTCCAGAGGCCCCTCAGAAGCCAAAAAACGGCCAAGACCGTCCGGAACCCTGAGCCCTCCACCCTAGGACATCGACGACGGCGACGACGCCAGCCACTACGATATCGGCCGAGGGCGCCAACGACCTGCGGCGACCCCGAAGACCGCGAAGACAACCAGCACCGGCATGATGACGACATCCGACGACCACGACAGCGATGCCGACGGCAACGACGTCGAGCACAACGACCCGGACATCCGAAATCGTGATTTGTTGACAGCGTGCCTCCCTGACTGTCCGGACCTCTCCTGGAACCCGCTTCTCGTCCCGACTCGTTTTCTGTCGGCTTAGGGCCAGGGGATTGCCGCCAGAGGCATAGTAGTTTCCTTGCGAAGGACTCAGGCAGATGCAGCTGAGAGTACCGACGTTGCGGGTATCGCCTTCGGGGGATCTCCTCATGGGGCCATGAAGCATGCGAAGGGTGGCCCAATAAGGGGCGGGGCGCCATGTGGGCGTTGCGACTGGGGCTTCGGGTGGAACCAACTACGGGGCCGCGAATCGCTGTACTGAGTGGGGGAGACGCATGCGAACACCACCACTGGGGCCTTCGGTGGAGCTCCCTGTGGGGCCACGAAACGCTGTAGTTAGTGGGTGGGGGAAACGCATGCGCCCACCGCCCAGTCAGGGAGGCCCGACGGCAACGACGAGCGACAGCGAAGAGCAGACCCAGACCTCTTCCGATCTGATGCTTTTCGATACGCGGCCCGAGAGCTCCCGTCCCCTTCCCCTTTGAGGGGGGGTACCAGGTTTGCCGCCCCGGATGCATGTTTGATGGCCCGGGGGCCCGAAAGCAAACGCCTGGGGCCTGAAAGCGACCACCCCGACCAACTCTATGCTTTGACCAGATCATGCAGACGGAGGTACGGTGAACGTTTTCTCATTCGGCGTTTCGACATTGGGCGGAAGGGGGGGGGAGGGGGAGGGGCTCAGGACCTCTGCTCAACACGGATGCTTGCAACAGTGCGTCCTGCGGGGGAGACTCTACCTGCCTGAAACAGGCGCCCAAAACAGCCAAGATCTACTCCATAGGGGGGTGGAGTGGGGAAGTGCCAGGGCCCGCGCCGACTGGCAAAACACGAAATAAAAAACATCACATGTCGCATGTTTCTTCTGAGTGTCTGACTGTTCTTACTCGAAGCTGCGTTCCCCCCTCCCTCCGCCACCATTTCAAGAGGCGCCAGGCCGAGAAGGCGTGCGAGCGAGCCCCGACCAGGCATCCTCTCGGGCATCGCCCCGCCCCGCCCTTTCTCGGGCGCTGAATCATTGGGGGGTGATAGAATGGGGGGCGTGAAGGGAGGTGCACCTCTCGTTCCCTTCAGGGACCCTGAATGCCCCCCACCCTCCTGGGCCGCCCAAAAGGGGCACGGAAGGTGCACGTTTCCTCGCCCCCCCCAAATGCAACGCCCCAACCCTCCCCCCATGCGGGTGAGCTTGCCGGAGTCTAGCCGGGGGCGTCCCATGCGGGGGCGTCCAAGAGGACGGGCTCGCACATCTTGGCCAGAGTCACGCGCGCGCGGCCCAGGGGGGGAGGCCATGAAATGCGACGGAATATCATGGCCCCCGCCATGAGATCCCTCCCCCCCGGTCGCCGGCGCTCTCCCGGCCACCCACGATCTACAGAAAAACTGTCTCCTGAGGCGACATACGAAAACCGTGGGGAGGGCCCACGGCGATGTCGAGCGCTGACCAGGGACCGATTGCACCGGCCCTCCCGTACGAGCCAAAGCATGCTCGTAGACCACACCTTGTGCTTTGAAAGCGAAGACGACGCTCTTGAACCTAAGCCCGATGTCATAAACTGATCCTGGCGAAGGACACAACCATATGCAGTTGTGAGTACCATCGTTGCGGGTATCACCTTCGGAGGATCTCCTCATGGGGCCATGAAGCATGTGAAGGGTGGCCCAATATTGGACGGGGCCGCCATGTGGGCGCTGCCACTGGGGCTTTGGGTGGAACCAACTATGGGGCTGCGAAGCGTGTGGGGGTGGGGACACATTGGGGTTCCCTTTGGGGCAACGGAGCAGTGCACTGAGTGGGGGAAGTGCATGCGAACACCGCCACTGGAAGAATCGGTAGAGCTCCCTATGGGGCCACGGAGCGCTGTGCTGGGCGGAGGAGACGCATGCGAGCAGCACCACTGAGGCCTTCGCTGGAGCCCTCTGTGAGGCCACGAAGCGCTGGGCGGGGGGGACGCATGCGAACACTGCCATTGGGGCCCGTGGGAGACCCGTGCGAACACCGCCACTCGGACCGTTGGTAGAGCTCCCCATGGGGCCACGGAGCGCTGTACGTGGGGAAAACGCATGCGAACACAGCCACTGGGGCCTTCGGTGGAGCTCCCGATGGGGCCACGAAATCCTGCACTCGGTGCGTAGGGCAGAAACACGGATGGGAGAAGGGAGGAGCGGGAGGAGGAGGAGGAGAGGAGAGGATGAGGAGGACGTGTGGCGCTGCCCCTTCAAAAGCAGGGCCCAACACCACAGGAGTGTTGGGAACGAGACCACCTCAACCAACAGTGCTCCACGAACATCTCACACAACCCACAGACGGATCATGTGTATTCTCTTTGAGAGGCTCCATGAGCAGGTCAGGACGCTTCGCTACTGCTTGAGGGCGGCGACGAGCAAGGGCGGCGACGGGCGAAGGCGACCGAAGGGGTCCTCCTGGGGACCGCACCTCTGCTTGGATCGGCGCGGTGCTACCCAGCTAAGGGGGGCAAAGATCTGGGCTGGGTGGCCAGAGCTGATCCCTATAAGCCACTGCGGGCATCTGCAACCCACTCTCAAGGCTTTGACATCCACGTGTAACCCTTTTTCCAGTAGCAACCCCGCGGTGATCCAACTGAAGGAAGAGACCCTTCGGATACCTCTAGCTGATCTCCTCTTGAGCACCAATACATTTAGCATTCAAGAAACGAGTCCTGAAGAAAACGGGTTCTGGACCCCAGGGCCGTCCTCAAAGACACGACTTCCATCCCAAATCAGTGTCTGAAGGTCCTGGGGCCCGTAAGGGACCCCGACGGCCCGAAGACAGTGGACAGACCTCAGGGGCCCCTTTTTGCTTCTCGGCAGGGCAGGCTGACAACAGCAGACCCGAATCGGTCCCCTGAGCCCCTCCTGGAGATCAAGCGCACCAGTTCCCAGAGCCGCGCCCAGTCGTGGCGACGAGGCGGGGCCCCGAAGGCCAACTCCCGTGGACTCAGCGCGCCGTCCTCCGAACGTCCCCTGGGACCCCCTCCTCCTCCTCCTCCTCCTCCTCCTCTCCTCCTCCTCTCCTCCTCCTCCTCCTCCTCCTCCTCCTCCTCCTCCTCCTCCTCCTCCTCCCCCCTCCCCCTCCTCCTCCTCCTCCCCCTCCCCCTCCCCTTTCCTGCATGGCCACGAGAAGTGATCCTTTCCAAGACCACCAGCGGGCCCTTGGTGGGACAGAAATCATCAGGAGGTCATTGATGGGTCACGAGTGGCCAAATTCGCTAGTGCACCATACATAGCCAGGCCACTCACGCGCCATTCGCGGGGCACCAGTGGGGCGCGAAAAAGAGCGGGGCGTTCCAGTAGCAGCTGCGAGGGGAGTCCCGTCACCAAAGCTCTTACGAACGGCGACCGTATCCGAATCTAGCCTCTTTCGCTCTGGATTCCGGGGCACGACCCCGCGGATACGCGACCGCACGGATACGTTCCGCGCGGGGAATCCGCGACAAAAAACACCCCGCACCCGCGGGGTCGGCGCCCTCGGGCCTGGCCCGCGAGGCCACGGAAACGGATCTGTCTCTCACCCACAAGACGCGGTTGCGTGCCTCCATCGGCCTGTGCCGCTCTCGCGCGAAGTGCAATTTCGCCAATCTCCACGGCGGCGGCCGACGGACGGCGACGAACGACGACGAGGAAAGACGAACGGCATCAACGACGACGGAGGACGACGGCGATCGACGGAGACGGAGACGAGCGGCGAGCGGCGGCGAACGATGACCGATGACGACGACCGACGACGGTGACGGACGACGACGACGACGACGACGACGACGACGACGACGACGACGACGACGACGACGGCGGCGGCAGACGACGACGGCGGCAGACGACGACGACGGCGAACGACGATCGACGCTCTTCGCCCCCGAACCTCCTCTCTTGAGCACCCCCAGGCGGCGGCGAGCGGAGACGACCGTCGGGGGCGAACAACCCAAGGGCGGGCGCTGCACGCACCCGCCCGCGCGCCTCGCCGAGGGCGTGGGACCCTCGGTGCCCCTGGACGCCTGCGCTGCTCTCCCCCTTGGGGCGATCCGCCCCCGTCGTCGCCCCGGAGACAGGCCGGCGGCGCCCGAGCCCGGGCGCGCGACGGCTGGCGGGCGCCGGGCCGGGCGGGCGCGGCTCCCGCAGCTGGGCCGAGAGGGCGGCGACCTTCGCCTCGGGCGCGCCCTCCGCTCGCCGTCGCCGTGGGCCGCCGCCGCCGCTCGCCGTCCCTGCTGCATCGTGGCCGCTCGTCGTCGTTCGTCGTCGTCCCTCGCTGTTGTCGGCAGCCGTCGCCGTCGTCTCCCGTCACTGTCGTCATCGTTTGCGGTCGACGACCTCCGTCCGTTGCCGCTCGCCGCTCGCCCCTCGTCTCTCGTCGCTGTCGTTCGCCATCGTCCACCGTCGTCGCTGCCGCCGCTTGTACTTCGTCGTCGTCGTTCGTCCCCGTCCGCCGGCCGCCGCCGCAAATTGGCGAAACGCCACCCACCGGCGCGAGGGCAGCAGTGGCCGATGAGACGAAGAAACCAAACGGCACGTACATAAACTTTCGGAGGTCCGCACAGATTTCTCAGATCGGCGCGGGGGGGCGGCGCCTGAGGCACCACTGGGTCGGGTGTTGCTAGAAGTGCCCCTGGCCCAAGGTGCCCCCAGGATTTCCAGAGGAGGCCCCCCCTGGCCTCCAGAACACCCCTCACGAGGCCCAGGGGGCCCGAGGGGCTCCAAAATGGAGCGAAAAGCTGGGGGCACCTTAGGCCAGGGGTACTCCAGATTTCATAATAAAGGGAGGGGGGTCTCATTTCGGGGGGGGTCTCTTCCAGGCTATCTTGGAGGGTCTGGGGTGGTCTGGGGACGATGTTTTGGAGGGTTCTCCCACGAGGGGGGGGTCTGAAACTTCTCGTCTGGGAGGGTCCAGACCCCCTCCCTTTTATTACGAAATCTGGGGTACCTTTAGCAATCCCCGACTGGGGCGGGGGCCGAGCGCCGATGCGGGAAATCTGCGAGGGGCTCCCAAAGTTCCTCGACTGGTGGGGGCACGCAACTTCGTCGCCGCACCTCGCGGGGCTGCCGCGGGAGGCGCGCGAGGGCCACGCCCCTGCGCTGGCGGGCAAGCCTGCGACCGGCGCAGGGGTCGTGCCTGCCTCTGACTGTCCTCATCCTCCTCTTCTCAAGCCCCTCCTTGAGCTCCAAGAGAGGGGGTCTGGACCCTCCAAGACAAGCCATTTCAGACCCCCCCCGTGGGAGAACCCTCCAGAACATCGTCCCCAGACCCCCCCAGGCCCTCCAAGATAGCCTGGAAGAGACCCCCCCCCCGATATGAGACCCCCCTCCCTTTAATACGAAATCTGGAATACTCTCTCTTTCTCGGGCTCCACTGTACTAGGGCGCGCTCCTGCCCATGGCTCGAGGCAAATCAGGAGGAGGAGGGGGGGAATGGGCAGGAGGAGGAGGAATAGGAGGAGGAGGAGGAGGAGGAGGAGGAGGAGGAAGAGGAGGAGGAGGAGGAGGAGGAGGAGGAGGAGGAGGATTAGGAGGAGGAGAGGGGAGGAGGAGGAGGAGGAGGAGGAGGAGGAGGACGAGGAGGAGGAGGAGGAGGAGGAGCCCGTGGGCGGCGACGGCGCCCGCGGATGTTCTCCGTCACCTGCGCTCCCGCTGGGGCGCGGCGACCTCCTTGCCCCCCTCGCCGATTCATCAAAAGCGCACGGGCCTCGCGCGAGCGGACGACGTGCCGTTCTCGCCCAGCTCTCGAAACGAGCGTGAATTCATGCACATGTACGTCCTTCTTTCGCTCCTGAGTGCAGAGTTCGCCAGAAGGCGGCGTCCCTGGCTCGGTGCGGCGCTTGGCGCATCTTCAGCACGCGTCGGCAGTGCGGCCGCGCGCGGGGGGGCTGAACGGCGTGCTCGCAGAAGTGCCATGCGCAAACACTATGCTGCAGCACGGATCCCGCAAGACATCGGTCCATGCTCGTTCAGCCCCCCAGGTCGTCGGAACGCTAGCCGCGCGCGAAGTAGGTTCGAACGCGCGCCAGTCTCCAAACGCAGACAACTACATGTCTCAAACTTGTGTCTTGTAGCTGCAAGCAGGCCAGGAGCGGGCGGAGGCCTCTTACTCATTCGAGCTGGCTAGCTTAAGTCGTCCTGATTCAACGTAAGCCGCCTGCGGTTCGCACGACTCTACCCGCCACTGCGCAGGAGATGTAAAAACGAGTCCAAATTGAACTCTACTGCCAGAGCTTTGGCTCGGAAGGCGGACCACAACCGGCCTCCTGCTCGGGATAACAATTCTCTTCTGCCGGGAGGATAGCAGGCGACGAGTGCCGCCCCTGCCGCAGAATCGCCTTCGCCTCGCCGGGCCCCGTCGAAGCAGAAGCGGAAATTGATGTCGGCGCGTGCCTCTGCCGCTCTGCGCAGATTGCCGTCGTGCGTGTAAACCGAATCGGCCCCACGGTCCAAAGCCTGGCTCGCCGCGTCGTCGGCCAACCCGTCGACATCGCACGAATCCCACTCGACGTATGTGCCTACTTGTGTTCCCGGCATCATGGAATGGCTGTGCATCCTTACTCTTGCGCCTTATCCGCAATCGTGTCCCCTGGCCTCCAGAGGAGCGAAGAATACCAATTGCAATATGGCTGGATTTCAGTAGCTATTCTAAAAGGCCTCTACCAGCAAGAACCCACAAAAACCTTCCACTGGAAACTGATATACAATATAATATATCAGCCCACGACCTCGGACTGCATCCCATAATTTTTACTTGTTGTGTGAATGTATACGTATACGTATACACGTTTGTGTAGACGTGTGTACATCTGTATATGTGTGTACAGGTGTTTATATGTGCAGACAGCTGATGTACATATGTTTATACGCGGGAGGTGTCGACACCACCCCGCGACCAGCCCTACACCAAGTCGTCCTGACGGCCCCGAGGCCTGATCATGTCAATGGAAACCGAAATCGTCGAAGAAACGCTCCCACCTCAACCAGGCTGCGGTGACGTACAGTAGCGTTGGCCGCGACGAGGGGGCGTGCCCATCCAGGGTTTTGTTTACGAGTCCTGGTCGATAACAACAGTCTACCTCGGCACTGGGGACAGGGCACACCACACACGCACGCATGCACGCACGCACGCACGCACGCACACACAAACACACACACACACACACACAAAAAGGCATGAGCGGAGGAGGAAGACAGAAGAGAGAGCAGGAGAGAGCCGTGCCCCAGAAGGCCGGATGCCAGGGTCTTGGAGTGAACATTGAGCCTCGGACCTGTCATGGGTCGCGTGCTGGCCAGAAATCCGAATGAAGGGCAATGTTGGGGGGACGGGCTCAGGGGGGGGAGACGTCGAGCTGAAATCGCACCAGCCCTCTGGGCGCAGGTGGTCTAGAGCGTTTCCATTCCCAACCTCCTGTCTTTCCCTGCTCGGGAGGTTTACGGACGCCCCCCCCCCGCGATGTGTCAGAGGGTCCTTTTTGGTCCAAGATGGCTCTAAGAGGGCCTGAGAGAACGCAAGATGGCCTCCAAAGTGGTCAAAGATAACGGTAGATGGGTCAAGATAGCCTCCGACCACGTCCAAGAAGCCTGAAGACGGCCCCAAGACGGTTTCAAGTGCCCTCCGAGGCCTCTAAGAACCCCCCCAGGAGGCCAACATCCTTCAAACACCTATGAAACATCAATGTGGTTTGCCTTCTCGCAAGACGGCCCAAGATAGCCCCAACATAGCCCCATGAGGGGTCCAAGAGGGCCCCAAGACGGCCCCAAGAGCGCCCCAAAGCGCTCCAAGAGCGGTCCAAGAGGCCCCAAGACGACATGATTGAGCCTCCGAGGGGGCGATGAGAATTCAGACCCCCCTCCTTTTCAGCGACACGGTCCAAGACGGCCCTAAGCGGCCTCTCGGGCATCCCAAAAGAGCCCCAACAGGGCCCCAAGACACCCCAAAAATTCCCCAAGAGGGCTCCAAGAAGGCCCTAAGAGGACCTCAAAAGAGCCCCAAGAAAGAGCTCCAAGAGGGCCCCAAGAGGGCCCCAAGAGAACCCCAAGAGAGACCCAATATGGCGCCAAGTTTCGAAGTGCACGCGATTTAACATACAAATCAGTACAACAGCCAGTACGAGTCATCGAAACACCCCCCACCCCTCATCGAAACACCATCGTAGCTTGCACTGACTTCCGTTTGTAAACATCAATGCGGGAAGCTCTTTGTGATCCTTGTTTTCCCGAAAGCCGGCTGCGCAACTGCATGCGTCCTGCCGCCCCTGTCACCAACTCCACGACTGATCGTTTCTGGATGGGCTGGTGGGGAAACTTTTTTTTGTCGCAACCACAAGGGAAGGCGCCAGCGGCGAGTCGAGTCAGCTCGGGCTACGAGCGGAACTAATTGCCAGCGCGCGCGGAGCTAAGCAGGACCTGCCGCCGGGGGAAGCGGCTGCGCCGGGGCTTTGCTGTAGCGCCGAGGGTGGGGACTGCAAGCTGCTGGGGCTGCCAGGAAGCTGCAAACGTGCGGGTACTATGGGAGCTGAATCACCAGGTATGTAAATTGGACCTGTTCGCCACAGGGCGCCATTGGTCTCGGCTGCGGACCAACAGGGGACACGCCTGGCCGAACAAGAAGGCTGAACCACTCCTGAGTGAACCGGCGGGCCAGAAACCCAAAGGGCCAGCGGACAGGGAACCAGAAGCCAGGGAAGTTCAAGCACTCGTGCCAGAACTGGTGCGGGCACCATGGGAGCTGAATCACCAGGTACGTAGGCGGACCTTGTCGCCACAGGGCGCCAGAGGTCGGCGCGCCACAGACGTGGCGAAGCGCGAGACCACATGATCGCCCAGCGAGTGACAGCGGACCGACGGGGGACGCGCAAGTCCGTTCAAGAAGGCTGGACCACTCCTGAGTGAACCGGCGGCCATGACCCCAGGAGGGCCAGCAGCACTGACAGACACGGCCAACTGTGGCAATGACTGAGGACCAGATGCCAGGGAAGTGCAGACACACACGCTGGAACTGGACAGGACGCAAGTCCCCAGAGCGCCTAAAGGCCACAGCCGACTCCACGGAGACGAGCGGGGGCCAAGCGCAAGGGACAGAGAGGCGCGAGCCGGAGACCGTCACGCAGAGGGGCCAGTGCCAGGGAGACCAAGCCAGGCCGTGGCCAAGTCCGGGCACTTGCCAGGGTGAAAACAACTACAGCAACGGCCGGGGCCGTAAGACTCGTCGCGCCCCGCCCCAGCTGGGCCTGCCGGCCAGGCGCGGTGAAGGCCAAGGCGAGCACAAGGCCGCAGGCACTGAGGGCGGCGGTAACCGGACCCCAGGGAAACCGAGCCAGGCCGTGGCCAAGCCCGGGCAATGGCCAAGACGAAAACAACTACAGCCAACGGCCGGGGCCGTGAGGCACGCCCCCCCCGCCCCAGCGGGGGCCTGCGTATCGGGCATTGACGGCGCAAGGGGGCCCCGTCCCCATGGGCGGGGAGGCCGAGCCAGGTGCCGTGCTGGGGCCATTGCCGCACGGCACTGGACCTGCAGCGGGGATCTGCAACTCGCTGCGGCCAGGGGCGGTGAGACCAGAGTGAGCACTGCTACAGCAGACGGGCAGGCCGTGCATCGGCACTCTGCGCCTCGACCCAGCCAGGGCATCGTGTCAAGTATTAACAGCGCCAGGGGTCTGTTCCACATGGGCGGGGGGCTGGCCAAGCGCTGCGCGGCGACCGGGCCCGGGCGCGAGGGGCTGGAGAGATAGGGGCGCGCATGGGCGACTGCGGCAAACGGCTGCGCGACCCCAACATGAGAACTTTAATCTTTCAGCAAGTGAGAGGGAATCCTCCAGCGGCGGGCGTTCTGCGCTGGAGGCGCTGCCGGGGAAGTGACTGACGGTCGAACTCTTTGTGAAAGGAGCGGCGCTGAAGTGACTAACGGTAACCCTTGCTGGAACGTCGGCATGATTCCAGAGTGCACCGGGCGATCGATCGAAGCCCCCGCCGCATGGGCGTCTGTCTGCCGGTCTCCAGGGGGGGGTGCGACGAGCTGCCTGCGGCAGACGACCGCGCGTTCACTCTCGAACGCTCCCCGAAGACCGCTACAGCATGCGGCCGCACATTCCGACACACAATCCTGCGGCTCTAACCTGCGAGGCGCGTATCCGAGCGCGGGCGCGCCATCTGAAGCCCGCCCACCTGCCGCCGCGGCACTGCCTCCAGGAAGGGGCGAGCTCTGGAGCGCCTATCTGGCCTCCACTGCACTGCTGGCCCAAGGGCGCTGGCAGGAGTGAGGAGCCGCATGGGCGTCCGCTCGACGGCCTCCGGGAGTGGGGGGGGGGGGGGGCGACAAGCTGAGGCAGACGACGGCGCTCTCGCTCTCGAGCTCTCCCTGACATCTGTTGCAGCTAACGGCCGGACTTGCCAACGCACGCTCCCGAGGTTATATCTTGTGCGGAAAGCCTCCGAGCGCGGGCGCGCCCTCTGCATGCATCGCTCCCCGCTGTCACCGGGGTCCTGTGTCCAGGAGGGGGCGCGCTGCCGAGTGCCTCTCCAGCGCCCGCCGCACTGCTGCCCCATGGGCGCTGATAAGCGCCAGGAGCCGTTGGGCGACCGCCTGCCGGTCTCCAGGAGGGGGGGGGGGCGCGCTGCGGCGGGCGACCGCCCGTTCACTCTCGAGCACTCCCTGGAGACTGTTGCAGCTAACGGCCACACTTTCCGATGCGCACCCCTGAGGCACATTTCTGCGGTGGCGTCTCAAGGCGCGGGCGCGCCCTCTGCAGCGATCCAAACTGTCGCCAGGGAATGGCTTGCAGGAGGGGCTGCGCTGTCGACCGCCTTTCCGGCCACCACCCCATTGCTGACCCAAGGGCGCGGACAGGAATGACGGGCCGAATGCGCGCCCACCTGCCGGCCTCCGAGACGGGGGGGGGGGCGGCGAACTGCGGCGGGCGACCACGCGTTCGCCCCCGAGCTCTCCCTAAAGACCGTTGCAGCTAGCGACCGCGCGGCAGACGACCGCGCGTGGATTTTCAAGCTTTCCCTGAAGCCAATGCAGCTAATGGCCGCGCTTTCCGGACAAGCCCCTGAGTCTCTATTGGGTGAGGGGCGTCTCCAAGCGCGGGCGCGCCCTCTGCTGTCGCCAGGGCACTGTCGCCAGGACGGCGTGCGCTGTCGAGCGCCTCTCCGGCCTCCACCGCACTGCTGCCCCAGGGGCGCTGACGGGGGCGAGGGGCCGCGCGAGCGCCCGCTTGCCGGTCTCCTGGAAGGGGGGGGGGGGGGGGGGGGCGACAAGCTGCGGCAGGCGACCGCGTGTTCCTCCCCCTGAAGACTGCCGCAGCCGACGGCCGCACTTCCCGCAACACTCCTGAGGCTCCATATTGTGAGGAGCGTCTCCAAGCGCGGGCGCGCCCTCTGCAGCGCCCCCGACTGTCGCCAGGGCCCTGTGCCCAGGCGCAGTCGAGCGCCTTTCCATGCACTGCTGCCCCAGGGGCGCTGATAGGAGTGAGGGGCCGAAGGGGCGTCCGCCTGTTCTGTCGCACTGCCGGTTTGTTGCGCTACCGGGGGAGAGTTGCAGCTAGGCTGCACTTTCGGAAACTAAGTCCTGACGGTCACAATTGTGCGAAACGTCTCCGAGAGCGGGCGCGCCCTCTGCAGCGCCCCGGGCACCCCCAACCATCGCCGCGACGCTGTCTCCAGGAGGGGGCGCGCTTTCGAGCGCATTTCCAGCTTCCACCGCGAACCTGCCCAAGGCGCGCTGAAAGGAGCGAGGAGCACCACGGGGGCCCGCCTGCCGGTCTCCAGGAGGGGGAGGGGCCGACGCGCTGCGGCAAACGACCACCCGATCAGTCTCGAGCTCCCCCAGAGGACTTTTGCAACCGAAGGCCGCACTTTCGGAAACAAATCCCCGAGTGTCTGAGTTGAGAGGAAAGTCTCCGAGCGCGGGCGCGCCCTCTGCGGCGCCCCCAGATATCGCCGCGACACTGCCCCCAGGAAAGGGCGCGCTTTCGAGGGCATTTCTGGGCTCCTCCGCGAACCGGCCCCAGGGGCGCTGATGGGAGCGAGGCGTACTATGTGGGTCCGCCTGCCGGCATCCAGGGAGACGAGAAGAAGATGCGCGGTGGCTGACAACCGCGCGCTCGGTCTGCGGCGCCCCCAGAGGACGGTTGCAGCTGAAGGCTGCACTTTCGTAAAACTCGTGACTGCCATGTCAGATTTGTGAGGGGCGTCTCCGAGCGCGGGCGCGCCCTCTGCAGCGCCCCCAACTGTCCCCGTGGCAATATTTCCAGGAGGGGGCGCGCTTCGAGTCGCATCTGCAGCCCCCACATCGACGCTGCCCCAATCACGCTGATAGGAGCGAGGAGCAGCCAGGAGAAGGATCCGCCTATTACGAGGAGGGGGGGGGGCCGGCACGCTATGGCAGACAACCGCACGTTCAGTTTGAAGCTCCCCCAGAGGACTGTTGCAGCTGAAGGCCGCACTTTCGGAAACAAGCCCCCGGCTGTCTATTTTGCGAAGAACGTCTCCGAACGCGGGCGCGCCCTCTGCAGCGCTGCCAACTATCGCCACGACGCTGTCTCCAGGAGAGGGCGCTGTCGAACGCCTTTTCAGGCGCACTCCACACTGCTGCCCCAGGGGCGCTGAAAGGGGTAAGGGGCCAAGGGTGCGTCCGCCTGTCCTGTCGCACTGCCAGACCTGCCCGCAAGGATTGCCAGGGTACGATGAGACACAACGTGTCTGCCAGGGCTGCCAGGGTAGCGACAAGCGGTCGCGCTGTTGGCGTGCATCGAAGAGCACCGAGCTGGGGCACCCCTGCCTGCACGACAACAGGTCGCACATCCAGAGTGAAAGGGCGAGCCTACGATGGTGTCAGGAGTGGCGGCAGAAGGCCGCGATCACTAGAGAATCGGAAGTCCCAGCGCCCGCCGGCACCCGAGGCGCCCGCGGCGCCCGCAGCGCCCGCGGCGCCCACGGCGCCCGCGGCGCTGGCGGCGCTGGCGGCGCAGGCGACGCCC